CTCATCTCCCTCTCACGGAAGGTATCTCCATCTCTCTCTCTCTCTCTTACGGATCTCCTTCTCTCTCTCTCTGTCTCTCACGGAATTCCTTCTCTCTCTTTTTTTTTTGCTTTTATTCTTTAGATCTGAAAAATGGTGGAGATGAAGATGAAAATGTTGATGAAGATTTGTTAGTGATGAAAATGATGAAAATATTTTTTGATCTGTTAGATCTGTTGATGTTGTCGTTGTTGTTGATGAATTCATTTTCTGGAGCTTTTTTTTTTTTTTGGTAGCGAATTTTTGGACTCGGGGAAACTGATCCCTGTTAGGGGGCGGGGATGGAGGCGGTAATGGGTTCCTTGTTGGGGATCAGGGACGGGGAGGGTGATCCCCACGGGGACGGGGACATTTCTACCATCGGGGATCGGGGACGGGGAGGGTGATCCCCGGCCCCGCCCCGCCCCGTTGCCATTCCTACTCGGCATCGATTTCTTGGAGGGTTACATCAAGGCTCTTGTCGGCAAGAAGCACGTCGGGTGATGCTTTTTCAGGAGTAGCATCTTTTGGAACCTCCTCACCCTTCTCATTTTGAGTCAAGTCCAGGACTTGCTCATTTGGAGTAGGGGACTTGGCCCCAGCATCCTCCTTTGACTTCCTCACCAGAACCTCCTCCTCAGACTCAGAATCGTCGTCGAATTGGCTTGGAGTTGGGGGAAATGGCAGAAGAAGGACGTCGGTGTTCTTGAGGGGGGAGTCATCGGGGATTTTGAGCTTTTTAAGTAAAGTCATCCAACCAAGGGTGAAACCCTTGTTGCATGCCTGCTTTACTTGTTTTTCGTAATCTACCGTGACATCGGTCACCCCCTCATTATATCCCTTCTCGTCGGCGGCCTCGACTTCGGCCTCTTTTGTTACCAAAGCATCCTGAAGTTCTTTCTGAGCCTGGGACATCTTTTCATCGGCCTCTCTTTTTTGGGCCTCGAGAACCTTCCTAATGGCCTTAGCGGATTCCGCCTTTTCTTCAGCGTCATTTTGAGCTTTGATAGCAGCCACGGCTTGATCCTCCAAGGTCTTCATCTTTGATTGCAAGTTTTTATTAGTCTTTTGCAGACTAGCAGCCTCCCTCTTCTTGTCAGCCAGCTCCTGCCGATTCTCAAAGGCTTGCACTGAGAAAAAATGAGCATGCTGGATGGCCTGAAAGTAAACAAAAGTTATTAGAAAATATTTTAAGTATGAAATGAAGAGAAAGAAAGAAAAATTACCAAATAAAAAGACTTACCTGAACAGAGCGCTGGAGCATCAGAGCATAGTTCTCATATTCGCTCATCTCGGTGTTTCGATCGAGATCGTCGGGAAGGAGCAGAGCGGTACTAAGGGCAACGACGACATTAATGTCGTTAGCACTGTTGCTAGCCATAACTAGCTTATCCTCCAGCGTGATTTGGGGAGCCCAGGGGGAATCATGCTTTAGAGACCCCGAGGTGGTTGTAACGGATGACCTCGGCCTCTTTGATCGTTTAGACCCGGATGGTTGGGCCTCGACAGGCCTCTTCTCGGCGGCAGAATAGGACTTATTGCTCTCAGCCAATTTGGAGATTGGCAAGGTATCCTCAGTGTCAACCTGAGTCACCATTGCCTTTGGCTGAGCCTTCTTGATCCTTTTGTCTTCAGCTTTGGCTGGTTTGGTGCTGGTTGGGCATCAACTGAATCAGGAATATTGGTCAAAAGATCCTTAGCGACTGCTTTTTGGCGGCCCATTTTAGCAGCAAAAACTGTTCGGTGTCGTCGACAGCGTTGGGATATTGGAATCAGATATGGAGCCGAGGTAGACGGCTGCTCAGCTAGATCAGAGGTCGATCCTTGATCTGGCTGAGATGAGAAGGCAGCTTGAGGAGTTGTGGCAGAAGGAGGTGACTGGTTTTTCTTCTTTTTCTTTGGGACATCAGGCAGTGCCGATTTGTAGGTTGGGATGAAATTGAGTACCAGAGGGGCTCTCCGTTTGTGGACTGGTAGATCCAAAAGTTTCCTCAAGTCTTTGCTGGGAAAAAAAGACTGACGGAAGCCCTTTAGTGGCTGAGGAAGAGCTGAAACAAAAACAAACATTAGAAACAAACAAAGTATTGAAGACTTTAAAAACATGTTAGTATGAACACAGGGCTCTTACCATTGCCCTCTACAAAAACTGATCGAGGAAGAGGGTAGAGATGGAGGTCCTCGTTTGGAGCGAACTCCCAGTTTCCCGAGGTAATGAAATAGTCATCCCCAGCTCCCTTATTGGAGCCAGGGAGGTCGGCGACAATTTTGTACTCTGTGGACCTCAGCTTGAGGTAGTAAACATAGCCCGCATCTTTTTTGAGGCCACACATGGTGTAGCAGTATTGGATATCGGATAAGGTAACCCTAACGTTTTCTTGCTTGGCTAAGGCTATTATGCCATTAATGACTCAGTAGGAGTTGATGGCAAGCTGCATCGGGTTCAGCTTATAATAATGAAATATCTCACGGAAAAGGGTATTTAGTGGGAGCCGAAGTCCGCACTCGATAAAAGCTACCATAGGGAAGGGCATAGAATCAGTTGTAGGCATAATGGAGTCATCTTCCCCAGCCAACCTCAGATGGACGTCGGCCGAGATGTCAAACTCATGCCTAAAGTGATCTAACTTGGTCGGGGTGTCTACCCTATGTTTCCACATACCCATGATATCGACTTAACTAGGAGGAGTTGGATTTTCAGAAGGGAGTGCTTTGGAGGGTTTTAGGGACCTCAGCTAAAGCCTAAGAATACATAGAATCTGTGGGAAATCGTTTCAGTTTTTTCTAAAATGGGTTTTACAAACAAGTCCCAAACCTAAAACTATGGAGATGAAGATTGACGGCACGAATCTGGAAAAGTCACAAGAAAACAAAAACAGGTAATGCGATTCAGAGTCAAGAACAGTGAAGGATCATCACGGAATACAAGACAAGTGTAACAGACCAAGAACAGTGGCAACATTCAACAAATGTGTGAACAGTGTGAATTCGAGACATAAATTGGGCAGAGACAAAAGCGTAAGATAAACATGCTCGAATACATGATCCGTAAATCAAATACTTGAGAAAAAACAGCAACAGCAACAGATAAATGAAGCGAAACTTCTTGAAAAGCAACAACAAACTGAAACTAGGACGAACGATGACTTACCAGAAAAAAGGAAGCCGGTGTTGAGTTTGTCGAAGTCAGACGAACGGCAGCAGCGGAGAAGAGTAGCAAGAATCTCGCCGGAGGAGGTGAACAACGGTGGTAGCAAAGCTTGAAAGCTTGGAACAATGGAGGATTTGCGAAAGCTAGAGAGAGAGAAAGCCTCAGAAACGATGAAGAAAGGTGAAAAGATGGAAGAGGGGGAAAAGTTTTGTTAAAACTTGAAACGGCGGCAAAATAAAATTAATGAGCCTAGAACGACAAATTCGTCAGACGGCGCACGCAGGCGCAAGACGGCTTACAGGCGCGTCACAAGCACGATCCAATAAGGGGAAGGTACGTGGCTAAAACGGTTGAATTATTGTGTATGACAGCTCATACGCTTAAGAAGAGCTCTTGGGATCCTTGTTTTTTAAAGAGACATGTCGGCCTTAACAGTGGTCTCGACTGAGAAATTTTGAGCTGACATACTGGAAGGAAGTACTGATATAGGTTCTATCACTTCAGAATGGGTAATAGAACCTAGGGGGCAGTTGTGGGGATATATTTTCTAAGTTCCAACACGTGGCCAAGGTAACGCCGACGTGTCAGCCGAGGTGCCACGTGTCTAGGTTATGACGAGGTGATCTCGGCTAGGCCGAGGTTATCTCCGAAGATATCGGAATCCGAGATAAGCAGATAAGGCACAAAAAGTCCTAGAATGAGGAAGGACTTCAGCATGGATAAGAATAACACTCTTAGGGAGTTTATCTCTATCTATTGAAGAGTCCAAGATAAGCACTAAACTAGAGTCCATTGAAGCTAGGCTTCTATTGGGACTGAGTCTATGTTAGCTATAAAAGAGAGGCACCCTCCATGGGTCTAAGGTACGCAATTTATACTCAGAACAGTGAGTTTAGCAATTGATTATCTTTGAGAGATATACTGACTTGATCGTCGGAGTGCCCCCGGGTGGACGAACCACCGTCGGAATCTTCTCTTTCTGTTGCAGGTCAGCCAGGTGTCATCTATTCTACCAGTACTCTCCAGTTGAATACTAAGTTGACAGTGTGATCAGAAATTCACTCACACAGAACACATGGGTATATTTAAGAAAAAAGAATCATTATCAATTGATTTAATTTGATTTTGTGTAGCCATTCACCATGATCATGTTTGGAATTGATATACCCAACAAGGATCAATAAGACACGAAACACAAATAAGAATAAAATAAGAAACAAAATCAAGCACAAAAGAACAAAAAGATTTACATGGTTCACTTTAGAATAGAGCTAAATTCACGATCGTTGTGATTTCACAATGATTTGAAAACAATTTACAACACAATACAAAGAGATATGACATTCAACTATAAATATATAATATTATGGCAACAAGACAAAACTGTTAAATATCAAAACTACCCTACCTCCAAAATTCAGGTGGTCAATGTGGATTTGCGGTCGGGGGGTTAGTATTCAGTACAGAGATCATAATTACCTAATTTTGAGCTTAGGTCTACATTGATGCGTTGCATCATTGCTTCAAAAGAATGCAAAATTTACTTGCATCAAAATTTGGTAATCAAAAGCCTAAGCTACTATACCTTCTTCATCTTCAGTTGATTCAAGGCTCTATCTCTTTCTTGCAGAAGTCAAAATAACTAACTTTCTTATTTTTATCTTCGTATTTATATTTCATTAATAAAAGTAAGCAAAGCAACAATTTCACAAACTTCCAACAGCCAAGGAATGTTTCCATGTCAGCCATACAAACATATGAAATTAACTAGTCAAATAAATAAAAATACTTACCAAAATAAATCAATAAAATGTAGCGAGCATTCAACCAAGGCTACAAGCAATTCCAAAGCCGAGTCCTCAAATAAGAAATAAACATCATTTGTCGCAATAAATATTCTCATATATATATATAACCAATTCATTTGTGCTAATATAACAGTAGCTGTCGTGGAGAAGTCACATGAATATACGACGAGACATTCGACCAAAGATAAAATTGCTGGAAATTGAAAAAACATTATACTTGTGAAAAGAAGTTCCAGAAATGCACTATGTATTGAACTCACTGGTTGCCACCGCCATTGCATTTTTCTTCCTGGTGAGAAAATAGTACTCCAAAATGATGCGTAATTGACCATTCTGCAAATGAATCAGGCCTTCAAACAAAAAATCCCGGCAGGAATTCACTGTGAAGCACCAGACCTCTAATGAAGCAAGAGCACCTGCAAAAGATAGGGCTTTTTACCACCAATAAGTTCGTTTTAAAATTTATTTTAAAAAAATGGATTTTTTTCCCAACTTATATCTTAGAATACGTGAAAATGTGGCTAGTAAACACGTTTTCTTGCAAGCGCGTTCAGTAACTACGCTTTTTAGTCTAATATCTTTGTCAAACTCTGTTGAAAACATGATTGCTAACAACGTTTTCAAAAAGACATTAGCAATCACGCTTTATCTACACTTTGACTTTAAACAAACTTCTACTCTAAATCAACCTGCAAAACAAAGATAATTGAAAGTGAAAACGTGTTTAATTAACCACACTTTCACACAATTTGAAAATAAATTAAAAAGGTCTGAACTTTTTGAAATAAATTCTGAAAGGGGGATAAAAAAAAAAAAAAAATGTATTTGATGGTAACAGGCCAAAAGATGAGACTCTTAGCCGTCAAAACAACTGCTTCTATACCCAGAAACACACACAACACATATACATACCTATATGGACTATATTGCATACATATAAAGAGTTGGCACATTTCCATGAGATCAAATTTACTGTTGTTCGAAAGGATGGGAATCAAACCAATAAATATAAATTGTTACTATGAACTTTAGCCTTAAAAACAACTTGCTAGTCACTACCAACCCCAAAATCGATTTTCCTTCCAATAATGCCTTAAGTTCAAAACATGCATTATGTCTAAAATGTCTAGATATTCTAATTGATCCTGTTTTTGCTACTCAAGCCCTACAAGTATAAGCTATTCAAAAGACTATGAAGTCCATAAATTGATCCAAGGAAGGATTCACCTTCCCCGATGTCTAGCTACACAAAATAAACAAAAATCTACTTTTCATTTTAAAAATAGGCGCCTCTATACCCTGGAAAGGAAAAAGTTTTGTATACCAATAGGGTACCACATGGAAATACCTTCCACCAATCACAAATGTATATGCTCCCTATTGTTCCCCAACCACCCAACAATATGCCCCCCTATTCCACTACTTTCCACCAATCACAATAGTAGAAGGTACCACATGTATATACCCTATCTGCATACAAATCTCTCTCAGACGTTTGCTTTTGCTCTTCCCAAATAAGACGTTTGCTTGTGCTCCTCCCAAATTAGGCAACCATGCTTTCCTTATTTTGTTTCCAACTTATACTCCTAGTCCCTACCCCTCCAACTATGAATACTAGCGGGTGGCACACGCGATGCGTATGCAATTCACATAACTAATAATAAAAATAAATAATAAAGAATTTAATATCATAATATGTATGTTGCTTAAGTAGTAAGTATATTCTTAATAAAATCCAAGGTTTTGGGTTCAACATTTGCTTACATTATGTATAATAATTTTTTATTTTAGCATAAACAAAGTTGTCACGTGGCATGAGGAGAAGAATGTTTCACTAAACCAATTTAGGCTTTCACTTAATAATAGTATAGATGATCCATAGCATTTTGAGGAAACACCCAAGATTTCCCAAACAAAGATAATATCATCCCCAAAGATCTACAGCAATATCCTAAGAAGCACGAACACGGACACGGATACATGACATGATACAAACACGATACAGACATGCAAATTTTCAAAAAATACAAGACATGATATGATGGGAACACGTGCAAAACATATAATTTTATATGTTTATTATATGCAATATTTTTAAATATTTAATATTTCTTTTATGTCAAATATTTCATTTTATTAAATTTATCAACCTTAAGTATGCTATTTTACTAAAAAAGTTATTATTATTTTAAAAATGGTCCTTAGTGTGTCTCCAGCATGTCCTTAATGTGCCCCCAGTGTGTCCCAGTGTGTCTGACTCTCTCAAGTGTGTCCGACACGTGTTCGGAGCATGTCCTATGCGTGTCAGACACCTGCACGCCACCTCCGAAGAGGTGTTCGTGCTTCATAAGTAGTATCATAATAAATAAGAAGATGACAAACAAACTCTTCATCCTAGCGTTGTCAATAGCATTACCGTCTAAGAAGCATGAACATGGACACACCAACATGAAAATTTTCACAAAATATAGGACACATGACATACAAGGGACACTTGGAAAATATATAATTTTATATATTTATTATATGCCATATGTAAGAATAAATAATAACTATATGTCATATATATGATTATTTAAGCCAAATATAATAATTTTTTAAGTCTAAAGGAAGAAAATAACTATAAATTTATATTGCTTTCGTTTTATCATTCAATACCAAGTTATTTTATTTAAGCTTGTAATATGTTTTATGTGTGTCTAAGTGTTGTTTTGTCCAACGAGTGTCATGTCGGTGTCGGACATGACACGTTACCCTCTTAGATGTGTCGATGCTTCTTAGTTAACAATCTCATCTTGCATAGCCAACCATGCGAAGAGCCCATAACTTAGATGGAGCAAAAGAAACCCAAATCCCTTTCCAAGGAAATGCAGCGATCCCCTGATTCACTGGAGCCTCACAGAAAGACTTCACCTCGAAACACCCCAACCTTGATGCATTCCACTCAAGGTTCTGAAAAGCGGTTACGGTCGCCGTAACGGTGGCGGTTGCGGTTGCGGGGTGTAAAGGCCATAGTGTAACGGTTGCGGTAACCGGAACCGTGAATTTTTTTATTTTTCGCATAATTTGAAAAAAACTTACCGATATGCATATTTTTTTTCCATGATCATATTTATTGGGTTAAAAATAAATATTGATCAATTTTTGTAAATTTTTAAGTATGATCCAATATATTTCATATTTTTAAATCACTATAAACTGAGTTTTTTACATTTTATTTTAATAATTAATGACTTTATATTATACAAAAAATCAATCACTAATTATTATATATAAGATAAACAATGACAAAAATAAGAAAATAAATAAGAGTCTAAATATATATAGATATACATATTTTAACCAAACCAAATAGATAATGACTACACTTATTATTATTATTATTTTCAAACAGTATATAGATAGACACACACAAACAAAATGGTTTAATGATAGCAACTGAATAGAATAGCATAAGTCTTACAGTTTCAACAAATCAATAACATGTTCTTCATCTTCCCTCTTCTTTCTCTCTATCTCTTACTCCTCCATTCTCTCTTTATCTTCCCTCTTCTCTGTATCCCTCTTTCCCCATTTTCAGCTTTTTTTTGTGTGTTTTTTCGAAAGAAACAGTTTGGAACCGTTACGTAACGGTGCGTAATAAGTCGTTACGGCTGTTACAGCACCGTTACGACTGCTACGACAGCCGCTATAGCCGACACACCTGTGAATCTCAATCACACTGCAAAAGCGGCCGTAACGGGTGGCGGTAACTGCCAAAACCATTACGTAACGGTTGCGGCCGCTTTTTAAAACCTTGATTCCACTCCAACAAATCATTCCCTTTACCTATGTTCCTCACACCTTATAGTATCATTAACAGGCCTGCCAACTCATCCATTTTCCAATCTAACTAATGTCCTTCCTATCGAAGGTAGTCTGCTAACCACTTCCCCAATCTACTGCAATCTGGAAAAAATGTCAGGAAGTCCACTTCAAGCCTCTCATTGGCACATCAAATGCAACACAAAACATCACCTTGCGTCCATATCCCCAACAGTCATTCTGGAGTGGGACATAACAGTCACTTTTCCTATTCACTGGTACATTGAAAGCTACAACTAGCAGCCCCCTCACTAGTAAGGGCAAACGCTAGTGCACTAGCTAGCTACTTACGATTATAGCCTTTAAGCGAAGCCAAAAAGAATTAACATGCAAGGTCTTTATCAACTGAGAGCAGAAAGCAAGGCAAGAAAATTAATGTTTGCTAGTATCCAAGCGTTTACGAATGCCCATCCAAAGCCTGTTACCATAAGACATAGAAACCTCCCTAGAAGACTAACCCCCCAAACATTTGCCCATGCTTAGCAAAAATCACTCTCCTACAGAGTTTTATCTTGTTCACAAGTAGATCTCCATTGCTCAAGTTTTTTTATACCAAAACCTCCCTCACGCAATGGGGTGCACATTGTATTTGTATCGCAGTCCACCTGGTGATATTTAAACTCTTCACCTAGGGTGTGATGCTCAAAACTCATTTCTAAACTCTTGGTAAGCTAAGAAGCACATACACGCGGATACGCAAGTTTTCAAAAAATACAAAACACGACACGCTGGGGACATGTGCAAAATATGATGTATACAAATAATTGTATACATCATATTTTTTAATACTATATACTTATTCTATGTTAAATAATTATTCCCATCAAATTCATTAACCTTGGGCCTGCTATAAATTTTTTTTTTTTTTTAAATACAGCGTATCCTAGCATGTCCGTGTCCTAGTAGCAGGAACCTTCTAATTGGGTGGCATTTCTTACTAAGAAACGCGATTCCGTGCTCCCAAGTAAGAAACTTGTAAGAAACTCACTCCCAACTAAAATAGGAACCTCTCAAACATATAAATCTCATAAAAATAAAAGAAAAACAACTCAAACTTATTATAGTAGTTTTTATTTATATAATGTTTATTTATACTAAATAAAACCAATTTGTAGTTGACATGAATCTCTAATATTTATACATATGAATAAATATTCATTCATTTGTATTAAAATATGAATGAATAAATATTAAATATGAATAAATGAATATTTATTCATATTTTTATATAAAAAAACAACACCCAATTAGTACACAATAATGTGTGTTTGGGAGGGGAAAGATGGAGTACACACCTAACCTTTGGTATAATACACAAAGTGGTGACCCTAAGACTTGAACCCATAACCTCAAGGTTATTTAATACACAAAGTGGTGACCCTAAGACTTGAACCCATAACCTCAAGGTTATTAGGCCAAGTCTTAACCATTGAACCAATGGTTACCCCTTCATATTTTAATATATATATATATATATATTACAGCTAAGTAGCAAAAAATAATTCATAGAATATCTCTAAATTTTTAATAAATAAATATATATACATATATATGCTCCTATAGGCACTCGCAACCTAAGAAACTGCTATATGCCTTTGCTCCTCTTCCACCACCCACCCCCGCCCCCACTTTGTGCAACTAAGGCCGTATCCAACACATGTCAAACACTGACACATGAGTTCAAGAGAGGTGTCAGTGCTTCATAGTTGGCAAGTTATGCATGTTGCACATGCAGCACGTGTGTGTGAGAGAGAGATTGACGCAGAATATAAAAAACTTAAGGAAGAGTAAATTCAAAAAAGCGCTAATATTTAGACTACATTACACAGACTCACCGGTTTAAGGCAAAGTACCAGTGTCGACACGGGTACGGGTACAAAATCCGGCCGAGATACGACAGTAAGAAAGTGGATACGGCAAGCATGATCGAGTAAGCATACCTAAAGTGCTTGTTCGACTTGATCGAGTTCAAAGTGCAAAGTCGAAGTCGAAGTGCAATCTCGATCTCGTCTTTCTTACCCGTACTCATGTCGATCTCCTGTTCTTCTCTCTCCTGTTGCGATCTCGATCTCCTATTCTTTGTCTCTCTATCTCTCGTCTCTTGATCTTCTCTTATCTTTCTCTCTCTTTCGATCTGTCTTCTCTCCCAATATGTTGTCTCTCTCTTGCTCTCCTCTTTTTAACACACAGCCTCTTTGACTACTCCACTCCTCTTTTTAATTTTGTTTTTTCTGTTTCTTAAACAATATCACACCACCACTACACTACTTTTAACTTTTATTTAAATACAATGACTCTCTCTCTCTCTCTCTCTCTCTCTCTCACCCCACTATTATTTAAAGATAATAATGACTCTCTCATCCCATTAGTTTTAAAATAATGACTTTATGAAGATAATGATTTTATTTTAAAATATTTATATTGTATTTAAGTAATTAAATATTATTCAAAATTATTTTTATGTTGAAATATTTATATTGTATTTAAGTAATTAAATATTATTCAAAATTATTTTTATGTTGTATTTAATCAATTAAATTAAAAATTTATTAGGATAAGTTTTTAACATGATAATTTAATAAATATTTTTTAAAAATAACTATTCACCTTATCCCCGTACTCGTATCCAAATTTGGATCCATATTCCCGTATCCTCCATTTTCAGTTTTAAGGTGTCCGACCACTAGATATGCACCCGATACCCGAACCCGAGTCCGTGTAACGTAGTATTTAGACATTGGCATGATTTCTAATATAATTAGAGTCTTATTATAGAAATCTTATATAATTATGTTTATAATATCATTAGTGTCTTATTTTATTATTATTTTCATGTTTTTTAGGATTTTCAGTCAGGGGTATTTTGGTAATTTTAATATTTGCTGACATGGGTTGTATCGCTCATGGGTTGTCTTGTGGATCAAGTTATTTAATTGATTTTTATTTATATTTCTTATTTGGTCTTTCATTGGTTTTGGAAGTTAAAGTAATTTTAGTAGTTTCCTTTTTTGCTTGATTTGGTTCAGGATATCTCCTACTTCATAAAGCCATGTATGTAATGCTCACAATTTAATAGAGTTGATATGTTATAGAATTTTCAGAGCTTTAAAGCCACTTTTGGGTTTGTGTGATACAACCCTACCTAGGTGTGATGGCTAAGGCCTCTAGGAGTAATTTCTAGAACTATCTTCTTCTTTTCCTTTCTTTCTTAAAAATTTCAGCACTTTCACAGCTCAAATACTGTTCACAGCCTCATAACAGCCCCAATTTTTTATTTTTATTTTTATTTTTTTTGTTTTTTTGAACAACCAAAATTCATATGTTTGATTGGTAAAATACTGCACCTTTTGAAACCCTAAATTCCCATGTTGTCCTGCATCATAGATGCATGCACATTCTCCAACTTAATTTATAATTGCTAATGAACCATAAATGTAGGTCTAGATGGCAGATAGAATAAGTGTTACTAATGTGTTTCAGTGAAGTACCTTTACATGGTATGCACCAAAACAGCCAGTGTTCTATCTGCTTTGAAGTACCTTTTTTGGATCAAGTTGACCACTATAATAACTGGAAGGAACAGCAGAGAGCTCCTGCCTTCCTTTCCACTCCTCACCAGGTTTCAAGGTGATGGGCTTTTCCACAGCAGCAGCCTCAACACATAGCATGCGCTTAAACTCATCATCCCCAAAATCAGGGATTGCCTTTGCCTTTTTGTCCCAGGGATTCCAAACCACTGAAGAGAGAGAGAGAAAAAAAATATATATATATTGGTAACGACAACCAAGTGCTATTGAATTATGCAAGTCAAAACCACTTATGTTAACGGAAAACTGTGGGGTACAACATATTCCTCAATTCAGTTAATTCCATAATCAACCTGTTTATGATCTAACCAACAAATCATTTTTCACCATTCCAACGGGAGAGAAATTCAACGTTTTAAAATTGCATGGCTATTACCTAAACTGACAGGAGAAAGATCTATCTCCATGGAACACGTGCAGAGGCATGGAATAAACAAAAAGAAATAGAAGTCCATAATAATATCCATTCCAGGTGGATTTTTGGATTCAAATAAAAATAATAATGAAATTTCAAGTGATGGTTATTAAACTCAAACAATTCCAAGGTTCATGTCTACACATTTTCTGAGTACAGAAAAGAACTTATGATAGTATCACAAGCCTCCATGTGAAGATATGCAGGACAGATTATCTAGTTCTATCCTCTCTGCACAAAACACATGCATGCTGGTAGTTCATTAATTCAGTTCAACTTTACCTCCTATTCTACCTATAAGATGACTTCAATCCCTTGATCAAATTGCTAGCATAATAATAATAAATATATGGAAGGCTAAACTCACCAGCATCAGGAAGTCCATCCTTCCGCAATACAAATGTCCGTTTCTTCTCATGATCCAGAATTGCAATTTTGGTGGGTGTACTGACATACATTTTGTCCACCTTTCCACCAAAAAGTACCAAAATATTACTAACAAATCAACAAACCCCACATATTCCACTGGAGAGAAATGATACTAACTTCTGATTCAAACGTAATTGCATCCCCTTGTTCAGTAAATCGTTTTCTATTTTGCAGGTTATCTAGATAATCCACCGTCTCGAGACCTTCTATGCGCACTTCACTGATCACAACCAAAATTTAGCATAAGGTGCCAGAATATCAGCTAGAGTTCTGCTGAATTGAGTTTTCGGGACCTTAGTTGCCCGAAGTGGGGGTAGGGGCAGGGGCAGGAGTGGGGCACATAGATGAGTCCCAATACAGGAGCATTTATGTATTTTATATAAATATATTATAAACAATATTTTTTATGCTTAGTTGTATATATTTATCTTAATGTCTACATTACACTACCACTTAAATTGTTAACCCAAGTATAGTAATTTCTCATAAAAAAACATAAGAATTCATCACCAATCTCCCATGAAGCAAAGGCATAGATACAACACGACAAGGACATGTCAACATGGCAAGTTTCAAAAAAACATAAGACACGGACAAGGTTAGGACATGCCACAAATAATTATGTCTTCATATTATAATTATATTGTATAGTTATAAATGTGAACAACATATACAAAATTAAATAATTACTTTATACTAAGTAATTTTTGTTTCTAATTCTCTTACATGAATTTTTAAACGTAGTTAAAAATCAGACAAACTATAGCAAACATATGTAAGTGCAACTTTTGTAATAATTACTTTATTTATACTAAGTAATTTTTGTATCTAATTCTCTTCCATGAATTTTTTAAACATAGTTACAAATTAGACAAAATATAGCAAACATATGTAATTGCAACTTTTGTCTCATCCTCCTTAGCCATTTGTTAATATTTTTACGAATCTTTTTTCATTTTTCATTTAGTTTTATGTGAAACTTCTATAGAAAATGTTCTTAATAATTAATACATTTTTTAAAGGTATATATAAGATATTTATGGCCAAGAAGTGACAAACCCATCACAAAATGAGCTTTTGACACATGTCCAAAATTAAGATTTTTATTTTTACTTGTGGACATGGAAAAAAGAGTATTGGACACACGTCCGAGAAGAAGTGTTGGAGTCCAACACTATGTTATTAGAAAACGCTAATACCCTAATGAATTACGTATTGGTACACATGCTCCAAAATATGATACACTTGCGTTCCAAAACGATAAATTTAGCTATCTAAAACGGTCCCAAAATTTTTTTCCAACAAATTTCTTTAAATGTTTCCTTAGGAGGAAAAATCAAATATAATGAATTAAAATCTAAGGTAGTTAAGTTTTGACAAGCCAAAACATAAAAAATGGGTCATAATACTCATAGAAATGTTTTGGTACATGAAGAAGAAAAACTAAATTTTATTAGATGCGTAATAGTTTTAAAAAAATTACTCTAAAAGTACCTTAAATTTGCAAGTATAATATATACAAGTATACTTCTATCGTACCACATTTAGAGCACGTGGCATACCACGTTTCCGTTCCCGTTCCCCATACCGGAATGATCCACGTTCCAAGTAACATAGGTCCAACACAAGCATGTCACCTTCTTAGAAGTGTCCGTTTTTCTTAGCCAATAACATATATCTTTACTCAATACAGAATCGAAATTAAAAGATTAATCAAAAAAATTTCATCCTTCATTTCCTAAAAGGAAAGCCAAAATCTGAGATAAATATTTGTCCATTACAAATTTTCTTCTGCCTTGATAGCTTTTCTTTTATTTCTTTGGAATTCATGTGTTCGAGTGGTCCCATCTCAGTTGAAACTGTGATTCTATCTCATCGAGAATGCAGTTCTAACAAGATTCTTCCTCTGAACAGCGGAATCAAGGTCCTAAAGCAGAAATGTTACCTCCCAGGAGATGATTCCTGCAACTAAGTTATGGACTGTTTTTTACCCAGGTAGATTTTAGATGTATATTGTCCTGAGAACTTTACAATATTGAAGGAGCTAACATCTTTTGTTAAGAAGGGGAAAAGAAGAAGTTACATATCAAAAGCTATATATCATTACTAGAAGCAGGCAGAATCCTCGAGTATTGGAGAACTGCAGTGACAAAAGACATTCTCAAAGTAACATAGTTTTTAAATTATTTTATAACAAGAGGTATGGTTGTCAAATTGAGAATTGTATCGTGAGTTGAAATACTTATTTTGTCAATCGTGAATTGAATCGAATCGAGAATCGTTAAGATTCAGTACAAGCTATGAAAAATGATGTTAAATTATATATGTGAAATAAAATTGATTTTGGCACATGATATAAAAATAGTTCTTATACAAGGACATGATCACACTGTTTAATTGAGAAAACAATGCCTTCATAGCAAGAGATGTGGGTCCAAATCCCACAAACCATAAAATTAATCTCTCTTGACATTCAAAAAATGAACTTAGGAACCCTATATAGAGTATAATTATAAGAATGAATTAATTGGAATTTATTTTAAAACCTGAAACACTTTAAAATGTATGTATGTTGATTGTTAAGAAAAATAGTCGTGGAACTATTAGATTTAATTGACTTGACCCATGTACTGTTGAACGATATTTCATTAAAGTTAATTCATGGAAGAAAGTTACTTTAACATTAAATATCTCTAGAAAATATATTATGATGTTTTTTTTAAGGAAACAAAATGAGAAAAAAAAAAACTGTTCAAAACATGATGGGTCTGGTTAAATCCTATTAAAAACTCCCTGATCACCAAAATAATAACAAATAATGCATAGGTATTGATTATTTTCATGCTAAACAATCTTAGAAGTTGAATTATAAAATTTCATCAAAAAAGAGAGAGAAATTGTCAGAATATGTTGGACAAGATAGTTTCAAGAATTGCATAAATCATAAAAAATGAATTGAATCGTGAATCAAGCAATTCATCATAGATTCATTTCCAAAATAGATTCGCCCATAGATTCGTATCAATTTTGCATAAATTGCAAATTGAATCGTGATTCTGATAACAGATCCAAGAAGTAATAACAGCACATTCAACAGCACTGCAACGGGACAAAGATTTCTATTCTTAAAACAAAAACAAAAAAAGGCGTTACCCAGTATCGTCCTGCAAATGCAAGGTCCTATGAGGGATAGATTACAGTCTGACCCTCTCCCACATTATTTATATACGGTCACTGCCCTCAAGTTTTCTGACAACAGCTAAAGAATCACACAGCATAAAAAGTAAGATGACAGGAAGGAGAAGTAAAGACTGTTATAGAACCTGATATCAGAAACGGAGAAATAGTTGTGATAGGCAAATGTGAATGTAAATGACTTTCCATCTGTGTTAGTATTTCTAATGCGGGATGACAACATCAGATCTCCTCCAGATCGCAAGGAAACCCTTTGGCGAATTTCATATCTGCAAGTCACCAAATTCTGAAATATTACTTGATTCATGTCCAACAATAGAACACAGTCACGGTGATCATCGATATACGACAAGAGAACCCTAACAAATTGAAACAAGCATTTGTGTAGAAACAAAGCAGGTGTAAACATACATGCATATTTTTAGCAGAAGCCAAAATAAAACATAAAAATTGAAATTTTCTCAAGAGACAAGAAAAATGCTACATCTAAGCTAACATTGTACCCAATAAACTAACAAGGTTGCCACAAGCAAAAAAAATTAACTTAATGCTTGACAGAATTATGACTCAGAGAAAGCATGAAGCTCAAATAACTCGATCAAAATGCCTTTCTAAAGGGTATGAGGAATATTGGATAGAATTAAACATGTTATCAAATTTGAGTTGTGCACCTGTGAGGCCATATCTTCACACCTTCTTCAGTGTGTTCAAGTAATAAATCAATACAAGCTTTGTTGAGGCTATTTGTTGGAACAGGAGGAGGATCAGGATCAATACTCCAAAGCCTACTGCTCACATGTCCATGTAGTTCTAAAGGACCTTGGCTTCCAAACTGCATATATTAGATAGTAATCTCAGAAAGTGTAACCTATTAAAAAAAAAAAAATTGTAGAACAGAAGGTTATAACATACTTGAGGAAAACAGATTGGAATACCTCCACGTATAGCCTTTGGAGGCACGAAGGTAGCCTGCTTGAAACAGAAAAATGTTTTACAAAAGAGAAAATAACATATATAACTATGCTACAAAAACCGAAGAAAGCTCATACATGTTCGATGTCATTCATGGGAGTAAAAAAAAAAATCATAGTTGAATCTGAGAAAATAGCTTCAGAAAGAATGAAGAACATAACCCCATAAAGCAAGAGGCAGTTTAAATGCAAAGAATGGAACTTGACTTGCAGGAAAGAGAAAAAAAAAAACTCAAATCACTATAAATAAATAAATAAAAAATTGTCCCATTAAGTACTATTAATGTCCAACTTATTTCAGTCACAAAAATTAAGGAATATGCCATATTCAACCTCTTAATATATGTTATTTCACCCAGTAAGGTAATACATGGATCTTATTACAGTCAAAGCTCCATGGCAGTTACATATGATGCATGTAAAAATTAAGAAACAAGTTTTAAGTGTCTATTGCCAATAAATAAAGAACACAATTGCCTTGGACATAACCAGGGTATGGAGTTGGATAGAGCCAACCCAATGGATTGAGGTTAAGGCTTGTTGTGTTGAGTTCAGCAGTAAATTGGTACTACTAGTACAGTAACAGAACCAAAAGCCTTACGTATGAAATTATTTACAAACATAGGCAGCTAAAACTAATGAGAGACAATGGTTACGCTTCAACTAAGTTCCTCATCTGCAACAAGACTTTGAGGAAACTATATTGCTCATGTCTGGGTAAATGAGTTTGAAGTTAATGGACTACATTAAATGAGAGCTTCACAAGATTCAGGTCTAGAACTGTCCAAGTGGCATAGTATAAGAATTCATAATGGTGACTGGATTGTGTTAGTTATCTGAATTGCCAGATGATTTGATATTTTTTAGAACAGAAAGCAGTTTTTGAAAACAAAACCTAACTTCTTTTTTTTCCTTACGGAAGAACAGATATACAAACTTAAAACTCTTTTAGTGAGTAACTAGAATCATCCTTAGCTAAGATTTTAATGTTATGGAAGTTCTAAGCCATAATGATAAAGAAACAAGATTAAAGTGAAATACAGTACCTTACTGCTAACAAAAAGCATCTCTTCCCCGTGATCATTCTTCCATGATGTAACTTGGCCGCCATACAGATACACCTGTTTAAGCAAAAATATGAATGTGAGGAGATTCTGATATACATGATTTTAAAGCTTATGTTAAAAGATACTTGAATGATTTCAATCTAATACTAAATGCACAAGATGATTTCATTGACACTAACATGGGAACATAGTGAGAAACAGAATTAGTCAGAAGAAGGAATTAGATAGGAACGAAAAATATGTTCCCATGGGGATGAATACAACACCTTGTAGTCAAGCAAGGCAATAGACATGTGCAAAACCTACATGCCCAAATGAAGTCGATATGTAAACAAACATCGTACAAAATCGGGGGCATAAAAACATGAAATCCTCACCAAGAGATCAAGGGCCATAGGAGTCTGCCTCATCCTCAAGGGTGTTAACAGAAATACATTGACAGTTAATGAGTCAGGTAAGATGGGCATAACTGCAGCAATAAGTTGGAGGCTAATTCCTCATTCACATTAAAAATAATTAATGTCGGCAGTCAAAACGTTTATGAATGTAGAAGGAAGGACAAACTATCCTTGGATAAAAGAAGAAGGCAAAGGACTAGCTTTCAAGAAAAATACATTTTTGGTTATAATGCACCATCTAAATAATGTACTAACATCTACAGGGTTTCTTTTTCTCTTTCTTTTGATTTTGTTCTTTGCCTTCTGTAATTTTGGTTTGTATTTTATAATTGTAATAGTTATCAAACTTGAACATGGGAACTTCAATTGTAGTTGGCTAAACACTAATTGCTTGTCGATTGTTACGATCAATCCCATAGCTGGACGAATCCAGTCAAGAAGTTCTAAAGCGGCCAAGGTTCAGAATCTGAGGCATCAACAAACAACAATAGTTGCAATGTTAAAAGGCAAAAATTGGTAGTTTAGCTCTTATTTTGTCAATACAGCTGGAAAAAAAATAATTGATTTGCACTACCAACCATATTATACCTTTCTCTGCATAAATAAACAGCAAAAAATATCAAGCCCCTCTCATAATTCTCTATTGCTATACTTTTCCCACGCTCACCTCATATGAACTAAACCTAGTCATCTCTTTCGAAGTTCCACATCAGTTACTATCAACTGCCAGTTATAAGAAAAATATATGCACAAAATAAAATTGAAGGCACCCCCTTAGGATTCAAAGCCCCCACCCCATGGATCAAACTTTTTGAAAACATGAGGGAAATGACAACGAAAACATTGGAAATGTATGGAAAGGTTTGAAGAAAAAAAAAACCGAAGCCATATAAATGTATATGCAAGCTTAATAATTAAATAATTGAGCATGTTTAAGGTCTACACATCTCTTGGCATAAATGGCACGGGTAAATAATTTGGAAACAAATTCAATGAGAACCAAAAAAATAGTTAAATTAATAACAAATCAATCTTATCAAGTACAAGTTTGTACATTCCTAAATGTGCATAAGATTCCAACCCAGTAAAATTTACAAAATTTTCAAAAATAATAAATTTACAATATGAATACTAAACAATGGTCAAAGATTCCCAAGGTGTTTTGGAAACATACATTTTTTTTTTTTTTTTCATTTAAACAATTAGTTGGGTAGAGGATAAGAAATGCTAACCTAGTAAGTAGTAGGTATAAAAAAAAGTAAAGTACAAGTAATAAACTTTTTATTAAATAAAATGTACTTATAATAACAAGTTAAGAGAATAAGTTACTTAACTACGTTCATTTTCTTTTCAACTCTCTATCACTCTTTTCTATTTACTCATATTTTCTAATAAAGTTAAGATTTTTCTTAGTTCTCAACTTCTCAAACATTTTGTTTTAGCAACAAAACGGTAGATAGAAATAACACTTGTTAGATGTTCCTATTGAGTGTTGAGACAACTCATTGTTTCGGAATGATTCGTAGTGTTTCAATGAAAACACTATAATTTTAGTTTTCCACTAATGTTTCATGTCAGTTTCCTGAAACAAAAACATTTCAAGCCTTCAGCCATTTTGATAGAAATGCAACAAAAGTTTGGTCCTTGCCCCAACCCCTGCTAAACCCTTGGCATCCATTCGGTCATATAACTACTAACCAATGCATACTAATCACTGCCTTTCATTCTTAATTCACCTCTCATAATGAACAAGTGTGTGTGCACATTTATGAAGCATGGGTACTTCGACAAACATATCGTACCCAAATCAAGTACTAATACTTGATACGTACCAAATACACGAAACACATACCCATTTTTTTTCTTAATCTTTGTTGTACCTCACAAGTATCTAGTGTATACCCAAATCATACCTCAGTTGGAAAAATATACATTGAACCTTTTTTTTTATGATTGGCATGATTTTAAAATTAAACTTTGGATTGTAAGTTATTTAATATAATGACATTTAGGTTTCACTTGGCAAGTTAGGTTTATAGCAAAAAACCATTATAAATTGTCACATCACTTTCTCTACTTTTTACTCGTATTTTTATAAAAAATCAAAAAGCCAACTAAAATAATCAATTCCCAAATGGGGCCTTAATGTTGGTTTATACGTTACTTTTGGCATTAAATGTGAATTGTTGGTTGGATCTTAACCAACTAAACTATTTAACTAATTTTTGCATTAATTCGAATTGAATTTTTTTTTTTTTTTTTTTATACGTATATGGTTGTCTATGTTACACGAACTCTTCAAAATAAATCAAATACCCGTGTCAGACACCCGACACTCGAATAAGGTTATGGGATGTGTTGGATACTTTTCATCAGTTTATATAATTGTATTTAACACTATTATTATATGTATATATTGTTGTATAATTGTTATAAATATCTTTTTGACACTGTAAGTTACATATAGTATCATTTTATCTTACATTCTTGATTAAAAATATAATATTTTTTTGCCGAGTCCGTGTATCTTTAAATTTATAATTCGATGAGTCCGACCTCTAAATACATACCCACACCCGACACCCGTACCTAAGTCCATATAACATAGATAGCCATAGCCGTACCCGTACTCATACCCTATTTTTTTAGATTTTACCGTATCGACATACCCATACTGAACAAATTTGAGTAGCAGTACACATACATGTGCTTCACAAGTGCACATGACAACAAAAAAAAAAAAAAAAATCTCACACATGTTTATGATAATAAAGAAAAGCTGACAGATATTAGTTATTTATGGGACAATTTTTCTAAAGGAAAAATGCATGATGCAACTTCAAATATTAGTTGCATGAAGCAAAACCAGGAACAGTAACAGGAGTAGGGGCAGGGGAGCAATGGCCCATAAACGAGTCTAATGTTTGGAGCACCAATGGCAATGTTCATATATTTTATCAAAAATATATTAATATATTAAAATCTTGTAAGATTTTTTTATTTTATTTTTTTGCTTAGCAATAATATGAGTTAAAATATGAATAAATATTTACCACGAACTATTTTTTGTAGATATAAATAAATATTAAGTAAACACAAAAGTGATATAATAAATTTGAGATAATTTTTTCTATAGTCTGATGGCTATTACATATTATCTCTTTTAGGGTGAATTTTTTTTTCTTTTTTTTCTTTGGGATTCATGTGTTCAAGAGATTCCAGCCCACTTGAGAAAGCGATGCTAGCTTGATTTTTGCTTTGAATCATAAAATTGCAGTTCTAGAGCATATTCAAGTCTCCTGAAACTAAGCTAAACCAAACCAGTGATGGCTCAAGATTCACATGTACTAAAAAAAATTGTTTTCTCCAAATTAATGACACCAACCTCCAAACTGCATAACACAAGCAAGCAAGCAAACAATTCATAAATACTCAAAAAATGGTTAAATGACCCATCAACTAAAACAATTTTAAATTTTATACATCATGTAAAGTTTTCATTTCTATACCTATATTAAACTCCTATCAAAAAACGGCATGTGGTCCCCACAAAATGCAAATGGGGTTTTCAGAATTATGTACTTAAACAAACAACCTAATCTCCCAATTAAATATAACCCAGAAAAATTTGTCAATTAATTTGCTAAAATTCATTAAAAAAACAACAACAATATTGTAAAAAATCCAATTCAAGCATGATAACAACATATTATTATTATTATTATTATTAATGAAAGTACATTGATATGGATAGTACCTCAACAGAACTCCCACGAACCTCCCTCAAGACCACCTTGTCGAGGCCATTAATGCCCTTACACCGCTCCACAAACACCGTCTCGCCCGACATCGCATCGCTCCACTCCACAGATCCTTAAAAGCCAAGAGATTTTCACACACACGCGAATGCGCTCCCTCTCTCCCCTCTCTCTATCTCTCTCTCTCTCTCTCTCTCTCTAATATTGATGATGTTGGACAGTCGGATCGGAGGAACACAATTTAGTTTGGGTTTATTTGCCATTTTAAAATCGATCCGGTTTGGTTTAGTTTAATTTCGTTTGAATCCTTTTATTTTTTTACATATATTTTTTTAAAAAAATTAATTTTTAGCCTATTTCTCAAAATAACTTTTAAAATTTGAAAATAAGATTGGATTGGTTTGATAATTTGAGCTTATTTAATGGTTTATTTTGGCATCTATATTAAAAGTCAATTTTTTAATTTTTTGACTTTTTTAAATTATATCACCTTTTTATTTTTTTACATAATTAAAAATTTAATTTTTAACTTCTAAAAAATGGGCCAATGAATGTTGTTATTAGCATCTCATTTATTATTTTTGGATTCTTATTTTTTTATTATAATAATAACTTCAAATAATATTACTAAAAAAGACCTCAGTTATTTTGAGATACCACATCTCACAATTAAGTCTACACACTGACTTAATCATAAGATAAGATTTATTAGAGCACTCACCTCCATCACCACACACACACTTCACAACCTTCAAAACTTAAGACTGAGTAAGAAATTCATAAAATTTGTAAATCAAACCAGTCCAATCAAATCCGGTAGGTTTGATTTGATTTTTTGAATCTGTGGTTCAGTTCTGGATTGAAAAATTAAGGAACCATTCCCAGCGGATCGGTTCTGAATTTCAATTCACGATTCCGAATTAGAACAGATATGAACTGTATGTAATTTAATCCATATACATACCATACACCCCTGATGCATACCATGAAGTTGTTTCTGTGAAGCATTGTTGTTTTTATTCTTGTTACTTCTTTTATTTTAGTTTTGTAATTATTATTGCCACAGACAATATTTGAGTTTTTGTGCCTGATATATGTTGAATAATATATTTATTTACTAGATATTATATTTGTTTAAAATAAATAGTGGAACAATATACATGTTTATATTTTGAAAAATCATAGGCATATTAATGTTGAAATGAAAATATTATGATTTTTCTTTTTGAATAGATTATGTGAAACCATGGTTCCAAACTGAGCCGAACTGTATTTAAATGGTTTGGTTCGGATTGGTTCCATAATTTAAATGGATTAGTTTAGTTCCAATTTTTATGGAACCGTAAGCAACAGATTGATCCTACTTTAGCCCCAAATCAAACCAATCTAAACCATGCTCACCCCTATCAAAGCTTACCAACTCTCAAAATCTTGAGACCCTCCGCCTGCGATATTCTGAAGGCAACAGTGGCAATCATTCGATTTTACACACATCTTTGGCAATGGCAATGAGTGGAATTTTTTTCGGCAATCATAATTCCATAAGACGAACGGAGTACAACAATGTAAGCTCAGAGAAGGTTTATAACTTAGATAGTGTTTGCAACTCAGATGAGGTTGGCCTTGTAATGATAAATCCTCATTTGGCAAGTGAGTTGGGTTTAAGTTGGGAATAAACAAAACACAAAAGGCTAAATAGGATAAATAAGTCAACAAAACAAAATGTCACATTCAAACCATAATCATTTCATTTTTTCTCTCACAAAAGAGCAAAAAAGTCAAAAAAATCAAAAAGTCCGACTAAAAAAGTTCTTTCCAAGCCGAGCTAATTTAGCTAGGCTAAATTAGCCAAAAAATCAAAAAGTCAGGCTAAAAAGTTCTTTCCGCTAAAAAATTAAAAAGTCAGGCTAAAAAAGCTCTTCCCAAACGAACCCTAAAGTTTCTTCAAAAACACTAAGAAAAATGGTAAAAATGGTTCAACTTCAAAAACACGTAGAAGTTTACGTTTTCTAAGATTCAAGAACACAAGGTCGAATATCAGTTATTTGTTCGGTAATACAGGCCCGAACATAGGTTATTTGTTCAAAAATGCAGGTCCGAACGAACAAGGAAATTTCTTAAAGTTTGAAGATTAAACTTGTGCACATACGCAAGAGTTCACGTTTTCTAAGGTTCGGAAACACAAGGCCGAACATTAGTTATTTATTCGGCAACACAGGCTCAAACATAGATTATTTGTTTAGGAACATAGATTCGAACAAGAAAATTTCTTAAAGTTTGATGGATGAAAAGAGAAAGATATCGTCGTGAAACTTGTGAAGATAGGTTTCACATGAACAAAAAAGCTCATCTTCACTTGTGAAACTTATTGGGTTATTGATATTTTGAGCTTATTTAATGGCTCATTTTGGCATCTAGATTAAAAGTCAGCTTTTTAATTTTTTTGACTTTTTTGGATCACATCACATCATATCTTTACTTTTTTGAACTTTTTTTAAAAAAAGTAAAACAAGTTAACTTTTAACTTACTTGCCAAAATAGGCCAATGAATGTTATTATTGGCATCTCATTTATTACTTTGGATTCTTGTTTTTTTATTATAATAATAACTTCAATTAAAATTGCTAAAGAAGACTTCAATTATTTTGGGACACAATATCTCCCAATTAAGTCCACACACCAACTTAATCATAAGATAGAATTTATGAGAGCACTCACCTCTATCACCACCCAAATACTTCAAAACTTAGGGTTGAGTAAGGAATCCATAAAATTCGCAAATCGAATTGGTCCAATCAAATCCGGTAGGTTTAGTTTGGTTTTTTGAATCCGTGATTCAATTCTGGATTGAAAAATTGAGGAACCATTCCCCGCGAATCGGTTCCGAATTTCAATTCACGGTTCCAAATTAGAACCAATCCAGAATATATGTAACTTAAGCCATATACATATCATGCACCCCTGATGCATACCATGAAGTTGTTTTTGTGAAGCAGTGTTGTTTTTATTCTTGTTACTTCTTTTATTTTAGTTCTGTAATTATTATTGCCACAGACAATATTTGAGTTTTTGTGCTTCCTATATGTTGAATAATATATTTATTTATTAAATATTATGTTTGTTTAAGTTAATAGTGGAACAATATGCATGTTTATATTTCGAAAAATCACAGGCATATTAATGTTGAAATGAAAATGTTATGATTTTTATTTTTGAATAGATTATGTGAAACCGTGGTTCCAAACTAAGCCGAACCGTGTTTAAATGATTTGGTTCATATTAGTTCTATGATTTAAATGGATTGGTTTAGTTCCAATTTTTATGGAACTGTAAACAACATATTGGTTTTAATTTTATCTCAAATTGAACCAATCTGGACCATGCTCACCCTTATCAAAACTTACTAACTCTCAAAATCTTAAGAACCCTCCGCCGACGACATTTCGGAGGCAACGGTGGCAATCATTCAGTTTTGCACACTTCTTTGGCAATGGCAATAAGTGGAAGTTTTTCCAACAACCATAATTTCATAAGACGAATGGAGTACAACAATGTATGCTTAGAGGAGGTTTATAACTTAGATAGTGTTTACAGCTCAGATGAGGTTGGCCTTGTAATGATAAGTCCTCGTTTGGCAAGTGAGTTGGGTTTAGGTTAGGAATAAAAAAAGCACAAAAAGACTAAATAGGCTATGGCCTCGTTTGGGAAACATGCTATTTTAGTAAATTTTTTTCTTTTTACGAAAAGATGTGCTGAAAAGTAGAGAGAGTGATGTGATAACTTATAGAGACTTTTTAGCTAAAACTAAAGGTTGCCAAATGAAACAAAATGTCGCATCCAAACCATAATCATTTTATTTTTTCTTTTACAAAAAAGTAAAATAGTCAAAAAAAAATCATAAAGTTCTTTCCAAACAGAGTTAAATTAGCAAAAAAATCAAAAAGTCAGGCTAAAAAAGTTCTTCCCAAGCAAACCCTTAAGTTTCTTCAAAAACACGGACAAAAATGGTAAAAACGGTTCGACTTCAAAAACATGTAGGAGTTTACGTTTTCTAAGATTCAGGAATACAAGGTTGAACATCAGTTATTTGTTTGGCAACACAGTCCCGAACATATGTTATTTGTTCGCAAACACAGGTCCGAACGAACAAGGAAATTTCTTAAAGTTTGACGGTTAAACTTGTGCACATATGCAGGAGTTCACGTTTTCTAAGGTTCAGAAACACATTGCCGAATATCAGTTAATTGTTTAGCAACATAGGCCCAAACATTGGTTTTTGTTTGGGAACATAAGTTCGCACAAGAAAATTTCTTAAAGTTTGATGGAGATCAAGTGAGAGAGAGATACTGTCGTGAAACTTGTGAAGATAGGTTTCAAATCAAAAGAGAAGCTCATTTTCACTTGCGAAACTTATTTTTCTTCTTATTAGATTTTCCATGAGAGAGAGCGACAGAGATATTGTCGTGAGAGAGAGTAACAGAGATACCACCATGAGAGTGAGAAACGTGATCGACGGGGAGATTTCCACGGTAAAGTTCAAATTTGAACTTTTAGGGTTTGGGGAGATGAATAGTTTTTAGGGGTGTGCTAGAGGGTGTGAAATTTTTAGAAGGGTAATTTTGGCATTATTTGTGGAGATGAGAGAAATTTTAAGGGTTTTGAAATTTATAAATGGGGGTCCAAAAAAATGGAGGGTCCAAAGTAATAAATGGAGTGCTAATATTATCACTCTATTTAAAAAGTTCTATTCCAGTTTGACCTGGCTTGCCTATTTATAAAATATTAATTAAAATTTTACATTATTTTAGTTATAAAATAAAGTAAATATATATATATATATATAATTATATATATACTTCTTATTAGGGCTTAAATTATAATATATTTTTTTAAAATCATATTTATTTATCATTGAATTTTGTTAGCTTTCTACATTCAAATAATAAATAAAATGGTCTAAATAATTTGATATACATTCAAGTTACATATAAAAAACAAAAAATAATAGCTCATATCTATTAGTTTAAGTGGGCGGATTTGGAATTTAAATTTTTCAAAGCAGGGTTTAGGATAGCTATATGTAGAGAAGTAGTTTGGAAATACTCTTCGAATCCTGGGAGACGCTAGTGATTCTCAACTAGTCACCTGAAAAGATACAAACACTTTGGTCGGGGGTGCCGGAATTAGCACTCCGACGGACAAGTTAGTTCAGATACTCAGGATAGCTTCTTTACTAAGTTTTG